AATTTGAAGCTAAGATTTTGACAATTGGCAACCGAAAAACGTGGAAACAAGCTCTCATAGTCTCATCCTCAAACAAATTCTCCAATCAGTACAAAAAAACATAGCATCAGTATGCCCCACACAACACCGACATAAGATATTATGATGTAAAAAAGATTGAAAAAAAAATCATTGAATGGATCATCGATACTAAATTTTGACTTTGAATTTACTTTTCATTTATCATTATTAACAAAAAAAAAATAGAGGTACACCAGAGTAAACCCAACCGAACCCACCCGTTTGCGGCCTTCATACCGCCGCCTTATTTCCGACTCAGATGGAGTATGGGCCACACCGGAAAACTGAACCCAAGAGTCTCCACTCTACAAACCTCCTAACTACCAGCCTATTTGAATACACCTGATATGACTCATAGAAATTGCTGCACTGACTGGCGCCAAAGCCGCCCCTGGTCGGACTTCCCATATTTAATATTTGGAGGCCACAGGTTTCGGGTCCCACCAACAACAACCATCCACGAAGCCTTGTGGTGGCGCGTAAGTATTATTATTGAAGAAAAAGATTTTCAAATATTACCAAAACAGTGTGAATACCGTAAGTATTATCATTGAAGAAAAAGATTTTGCAGTGTTTGATGATTAACTGTATGCCAAAAAGAATATGAATCACCATTGAGGAGTGTTAACAGAAAACAAATTTCTCGGTGAAAGTGTCGATGTCGCCACGAGGAGCAGCGAGGCTTGTGGTGGCGCGTGGAATGGATTTTGGAGGGAAGCTGAGCCTGGGAGTGGCGGAGAATAGGGGTGGGCCGGTTTTAAAATAACCAAAAAAAATTTTCTTCAATTTTAAGAACCAAAACTAAATACCACCAAGGGGTTGGATCAAGTGGTAAGCGACTTGTTTCAGTTTAAATAAGTTTTTAAGTTCGAGACCTTGTGTATGCAGTAGTACTCATTAAAAAATTCACTCATCATTTCTAGGTGCTCGACGTGAGTCGATTCAAATTAATCGAAGTGAAATCCTAGGTACCGGACGAAAAACCAAAAAAATAAAAACCAAAACTAAATTGAAGTTTCTACAAATCAATCGCTTGATCATCAATAAAATTTATTTAATTTTAATTTTTATTAAATAAACATTAATTAATTATTTTTAATAATATATTTTATTTTATTTTATATTTTATCATATTTATCTCTATTTTGATTTTTAAAAAGTTTATTTTTGGTTTTTAACTTTTGAAATGTTCAGCTAAAATCAAATTAAAATTTATTCAATTAATATCAAAATCAAAACAATAAAAATAAAAAATCATTAAAATCAAACCAAATTTTTTTTTTAAGTTTGATTTCCTAATAACTATTCGGTTACCCACCCAAACACCAACTCCAAACAGAATTTTTTTTTTTTTTGGTAGAAACCAACTCCTAACAGATGGTTAGATGCTAACCACTATTGTGCTTCGTGACTGGTTGTTGTTGGTGGGACCGAAAACTGTAGCCTCCAAATAATAAAATATGGGAAGTGCGAGCAGAGGCGGCGTCAGTCTCAGTCGGTAAAGGAATTTCTACGAGATATGTCAAGGGTGAGTTAGGCCGGCTTCGGCTTAATTTTTAAATTTAATGGTTGGATCTCAAATTTTAAATGTTTAGGTAAAGTGGTCAAAATTTCAAATTCTATCATCGTGGTAAATTTCATTTAAGAAGGTGAAATATTCATCTGATTTGAGAATCGAATCCTCAATTATTAATAATTAATTTAAACTAATTTCTTAATCATTATTTTTGTCAAAAAAAAAAAGGAAAAAAGCTGGGTTTAGTCTCGTGTACGGGTTGCGAATCCATTATTTGATTTTAACGATTCGCA